CAGGGTGCTCCTGCCTGCTGAGCAGATCCCACAACCGTGCATCCCGGCCAGGCTAATGCTGGTGTATTCCTTACTCTTCCCAAGGCATCCAGTTCCTCAGTTTCTCCTTCCACTGACCGAGGAGCAAAGCTTAACCGATGAGTGCAGAGCGCTCTGACAGAACGGTGCCGGGCACAGGCTGCACTTCAGGAGCTGGTTAGCTTGCGTTTCCTTGGGTTTTCCTGCCCTAAAGCAGAGCGGGTGGCACGAGCTGGCTTCTGAGGYGCCCTCCTGCCCCATTTTCCATGAATGCAGCAATTCTCCCGGGCAGGGTTGGCGGGGAGCCCGAGCAGTTTGAAGATGTAATTGCTCTGCCCGTTCGCTAATGAGAATGGCAAGGACAGCGCGCASGACAATGTGCCTGTTCTGATGCGCTCGTAGCCAAGAGCTCTGTAATTGCTTCCTTGTTGCCTTATTTCTCTCCTGGCCTTTGCCGAGGGCTGGGCACGGGCACAATGAGGAGCTCTGCTGCCCAAGGGCCCCGGCAAGGCCACCTGGCCCTGTTTTTCCCTCCTGGAGAGTCAGTGTCACACGACAAGCCCCAGGCAGCCGCGTACGGGGATTGACCTCGGTGGTCCCCAGTAAAACACAATAAACCACGTGGAGGACTTAATCCCCTGGGTATTAGTATCTGACACAATACAGAAGCTGTGTGCCCTRTTCCCTGAGATATATCCAAGAGAAAAAGACTTGGGGTTCAGCCTAGCATTTCTTCCTTTGGAAGGGAAAAGCGATTCAGGAATGCAAGGGGAAGCTCGTGCAGCCAGGAGCTCAGGTCCACGCTGAGCAGTGGATAAGCTGGAGCTTGTGCACACAGCTCGGGAACAGCTCTTGGTGCYGCTTTGCACAGACCCCAGGCCTTGCAGAGCTGTCAGATCTGCAGAACAGGCTGTCTCCAGTTTCTGTGATAGCACAAGCCCTTAACACCTCAGCTCTAAACACACRCCCTGCCATGAGCAAAGCTGCAACCAAAGGCTGTGAAATCCGGAGCTCCAGAAGCCGCTGACAGATGGGAATGTGAGGCCGTGTGTCTGCAGCTGCATCGCAGCACCGTGAAACAAAACTTTGGAAAGCCATCAGAAAGCTCAAGGCAAAACCTACGCTTCCCTCGAGAGGGAAGGGCGAGAGGAAGGGTGTTTGTCTGCACAAGGAGCCTGGTTTGCAGGGAGACTTTTATCTAAGGGGGCTCTGCTTCTGCTTGCATCTCTCCAGCAAGCTGTTCCACCGCTGAGCATGGCTGCGTGGGCTGTCTGCACACACACGGCTTTGCTGCCTGATTAGGGGGTAGGACAGTAAATCCTCCTGTTCAGAAAGACAAAAAGGGAAGACAAGACAAGGCAAGGGCTGTGTGCATGGCCTGGGTGCTAATGTGCCTTCCCTGCAGCAAGTGCAGGCAGGTCTTTAAGGTGCCAGGGCGTTCTCSTAAGGAAATAAATCACCTATCTACCCTAGGGATGAGAAAAAACCCAAGTGAAGCCCCATTTACTGCTCCTTTGCTCCTTCCCTTGGCTAATGGGGCTTCGTGTCCCCTGCCCAGGATGGCACAGCTCTGGTTGTGGGKGCCCATCAGGGATCTGGCACCCTTTGAGGTGAGCAGTACAAGCAGTGCTGCTTTGTGGGAGCTGGTAAAAATAAAGCCTTATGCATAGGCAGCTCTTGCAAAGAGCACAGAGGATTTATGACTAAGTGGGGTGCTTTCCAGGGTGGGCTGGCCGCGGTCTGATGATGGCCTTTTTATAACTTGTTATCAGCTCCCACACAGACCGGGTCCATCTGTTACTTAATTTGTCCGAAACGCTCCTCGGCCTTTGTTCCCTAATCTCTAGCTGCACATCTACATTGTTCTGCAGCGGCGCAGCCCACTCGCGAGCCACGGAGGCGCCGGGAAGGCCRGGATGCGAGGCAGGAATGCGACCGTGCCTCGTGCTGAGCGCCCATCCACCTCCCTGCTGCCTTGGACCAACTCGGGGGGCTTTTAACCTGCCCCTCRGATACCAGAGCACATACAGAGCCAGCTCCTCCTGGGCTGGCAGCCTTCAGAAATCCCGTCCATGCAGCTCCCTCCATACACGTGTTGATGTGCAGAGGTGAACTCATGTGTCCGCAGCACCAGCAGGGTATCGCTGGGCAGGACTCCTGCTGCACARAGTAACCATCCAGAAAGCAAAGATGCTTAATAAGGCATGTGGTTTAGAGCAGCATTCCCGCGTGGCTTAGATGCATTTTGAATTTCAAAGCAAGCAACAGGGTAATGATGACGGACACCTGAAGCAAGGCATATTTTTGCTGCATTAGTGGGTAGCTGTTTCAATACAGCTCTGTGGTTTTGTACGGCTTGCACCAAACTATGCATTACCTAAAATTACTGTATCAGAGAACTATAATATCAGCAAAGAAGCACTGAAGTCTTTCCCATTCTGCAGCACAGAGTACTGTCAGCAGCTGATTTGAATTTGTTGCTGGTCGTCCTTCTTTACCTGGCATATACTAATTCAGGAATATTTTACCTCCTCTTATGTCTGCCTAGACTTTTTAGACAGATAAAAGACTAGGATTAAAGGAGAAGGAAGGTCAGGCTTTATGTTAAACCCAGTAAAAAGGAGAATAGAAGCTTTAGCACAGTTTAGCTGCTTAGGAAAGCAGCTATTTTCTTTCTTCTGTACTTTCAAWGCAGCATTTAAAATGATTCAGATAACATGAGTCACTGCAAAATGCATGGGCTGGATCTCTCTGACTAGAGCAAGTGCCCTAAGAATATGCTCTAGACTGCAGTGCCTTGTCCCACATTCTGTAGGAGAGCTGAGTCTATGGGGCATATGGATGTGGTAGGTATGAAGGGGAGTCTGCCGAGGCACGTGTGCTGCTCTGGAGAGGAATGCACCTCTACRCAAGGCTAGACCACAAGGTGCCGAGGCCTTTGAAGGGAGATTTACATAACCCGCCACCTTTGCCATGTCTTTGCACGGAGCCGAAAGAGGCCTCCAGGAACACTTTGGAATGTTTTTTTGAAGGATGACACTTACTGCTAATCATGGTTTAACACACACCCAAGACAAAGCAACCGAGAGTGCAAGAGCTCGTGGCTGCCAGCAGCAGCAGCGAATCCAACCGAGCACAGATTGCCCTGCTCCTGGAGCCYGAGCATGCAAACAGCTGGGAGCTGCTGGCTTCCAGCAGATTCCTCCAGCCTCCAGGAGCCTGGGCAAGGAATTCCCCAAAGGAGCGTTAAGAGGAGGGGGAGAAGTTGTTTTTCCCCCCGCTGCTTTACCATCTTTGTTGGCACTTAGGATTTCTGTCTCCCCACATGGCTGTAGTCTTCTTGTTATTTATAACATGCAATTTGCAGTGTTTTTGTGCAAGGCATAGCTAAACAAATCTGCTTTAGCCCACAGCCGGTACACATAATAACACAAGACTCTCTCACAGTCTCCAAGGTCTCAGCTTCTAAAATTTGTTGCACCTTGGGCCTGAGGATGGACCTAAATCTCTTGTATTTAATGGGTGAGAAAGATCTTGTGGTGAATAATTCCTAAGCAACAAGATGGGGGCCAGGGTTTGTTGGAGTCCCACTGTCCCCAGTGTGTCCCCAACTTCTAGAGTGGTCACCTACATCAGGGGAACACATCTTTGGGATATCACTATCCCATCTTACACCGAGCTGAGACAGTAGCTGTAGATGTGTTTCAGTCTGCCACCACGCTAGCTACTTGATCAGACACTTTTTCTGAGAAAGGACCTCATTGCAAACAGAAACATGGAGCAAAAAACCAACTGGCATTATCAAATTTCCTATAAGAAACAAAGCGGTCTTTACGATGTCCCTCTCCCTCCCTGTTTAGAGCTTGAAAAAGACAGACTTAAACCATATGTTAATACAGACCTGCTAGATGCTGTGCAAGCTGTCTTGTGCAGCACAGCAAGTCTCTGTCGTCACCTGCTGCTCGAGCTCGTGCAGAAAGCAATCATCTCGAGAGGCGTCTTGGCGATGCAGCTCTTCAGTGAAGGAGGTGCTCTCACAAGAGGGGAGGGCCTCCAAGTTTCTTCCTTTTAAAACCTGGGTCAAAGACCTCATTAGAGCCACCTGTCCCCGTCAAGAGGCAAACCAGGGTCTCCACMCTGCAGATAGGTGCTCAGGCTTGGGTTGTCAAGGAGGAAGCTCTGTCACTTCCAGAAGCAGGGATCTCTCTGCAGTGAGAAGCAATCAAACAACATCTTTGTGTGCAAGGCCCTGGAGCACTGTAGAAAACGTGTCAACGTGTTTCAGGAGGATTTTCCTAAGCGTGTTCCTTGTCTTCTTTTGACTAGTGACTTCTAATGCTCCAAGGATTTTGCTGGGAGATCTGTTTAGGCTCGGGACGGGGGAAAGCGAGGGTCACAGCTCCGGGTTTGCCACATGCGTTGTGGACACCTAGAAGGATCAGCAGAGAAGAGGAGAGGAGCGTGTAGTGCTCAGTGTCAGCTGGGTTGGGACTCTGTTTTCTCCTGAAACCAGGTCTTTCATGATTTATTTACCCCACATTTTACATGTCTACACCATACCTAAGAATACTTAAATATGTAATTGGTGAATGTAAGCGACCTGGCACATTTTCTCTGCTTGGAACTGGCTGGAACGCGTGAGATTGCTCTGCTTCTTGTCTTTCCCTGATCATCAAATGCATTTGGAAAACAATGGGCTCAGCCCTGGAATATCAGGATGAGAATTCCGTCACCATCTAAACAAGCATAAGGCACAAGGAAATGTATTGCCCGGGAACTGTTTTCCTGTTGTTATAATTGCTCCGTTTAATTGCTATTTCCAACAATTGCGTTTTCCTGTATTTGCACCACATCTCCTAAATAAACTCAGGCCTGCTGGCCTGGCATTGGCAGCCAGGATTAGCTTTTATCTGGCAAAGTTAGTCGTCGTAGCTGGCCGAGCAGCCTCCTCAGCAGGCAGTAGGTTTCTAGCTGGGTGACTTATGAGCTGTGCTCCTTCTTATTACCTCCTGTTTGTTTTTGCAGGCTGCAGGCTCTTGGCCGTGGAGCTGACCTCCAGCAACACCAAGCCCGTGGTGCAGGAATTCCAGAGTGAGTGGCGCGGCGCCGCTGGCTCCCTAGCACAGTCGCTGTCCCGCGGCGGGGAGATTTGCAGCAGTTCAAGCAATTGGGAAAAATTCTGCTTGTTGCTCGTGGTATCTGGTTTCTTGGGTGAGGCAGCACAACTGAGTGTCTGAGATTCAGAAAAGCGCTTAAGAATGTGGCTTTGTCTCTCCCTGTTTAGCAAAGCGCTTGATTGATAGGGTTGATTGGAGTCCCATGAAAGCACTGGCACAGCGAGGTGTCTGCCTAAGTGCTTTGCTGAACGGGATCCCAAATGGAGAAAAGGCAGCCGCATTACAATAAATACAGCCAGGAGAGGGTCAGGAAATGTCTGTTTTGTCTTGGCCCTCTTTCAGACCTGCAAYGTGATAGGGGTGAGGCCTCTCAGTGCTGCCGCCCTGTCCTCTTCTGCAGGTGGAGATGACAGCGCCCTGCTTCAAAGGGCATGGGTTTGTGAGTGCATCCGCAGGGAGCGCCATTCCCGGGTCCRATAGGAGCAACAGGAATTGCCGAGCACGCTGCCAGAGCCCAGCGAGGTCCTGGATTCACCCGGGRCGCTCTGATTAGCAGCAACCCTGTCATACGGTCTTGTTTGCCCTGCGTTGGAGCCTGCAGAGAACAGTGTGTTCGTTTCTCTCCATAGTTGATATCTGCGTGGCTCTTATTTTTGCTGGCCAAAATCCATCTTCCCCAACAGCTCCTGGAACCCAGCAGTGTTTCTGTTTGTGAGACAGATGAAAGAGGAGGCCTTTGTGGGCAGCATCTCCTAATAAAACAGTGTGCAAGACTCCTCAAAGCAGAGCAAAAATACAGCTGCTTGCTATTAATCTGTATTTCTTTTTTTCCTGCTGCTAGGTGTGGAGCTGTCCTGCATCATTAAATCCACCGTAACAGCAGATCCCAGGATTGAGTGGAAGAAAATCCGAGATGGCGAAACCTCTTAYGTATTTTTCGATAATAAAATGCAGGGTATGGAGATTCATTGCTCTTTTCCTCTTCCTGCTTTAGAAAGAAGTAAATCTGAGAGCAGATAACGCTGTAAAAGGAAAGATCTCTGTCTTTCTGTCTGCTTTCTCCYGGAAGGTTCTTAAGAGCACAAAGTTCCTTTCAAATGGTGCTGTTGACTCCGCAAAGGAGCCTTGCAGTGCCTAAAATTACCCTGGATGACTATCCACACTTTTTTCTCTCTCTTTCTTCTTTACCAGGAGACTATGCAACTCGTGCAGAAATCCTGAGCCGGACGTCACTGGTGATTAGAAACGCCACCCGGATGGACACTGCCACGTACCGCTGTGAAGTGGCAGCGCCTTCTGATACCAAAACCATAGATGAGATCAATATCCAGCTTACAGTCCAAGGTACTGCCTCGGGCCCAGGTGCCTCTGCAAGCGTGCTGGCTCATGGAAGGTGCTGTGGGTCTCTCCAGCGTTCAAACTGTGGTACTTGGTCTCAACAGACCCTGAAAGTTGCTTAAAGGCAGCTGAGAGTTTTGGTGCCTTTTTAGCACAGACAGTTTTAAATGTGTGTCAGAAATGGCCTAGTTCAGCTCACCAGGATGATTCACATGTTTTTTTTGTCTTCCCTGCAGTGAAACCTGTGACTCCTCGATGCATAGTGCCTAAGGCTATACCTGTTGGTAAAACAGCCTCTCTCCACTGCCACGAGAATGAAGGGTACCCAAAGTCCACTTACAGCTGGTACCGCAACAGCGAGCCCTTGTCACCGGACACGAGATCCAATGCCAAGTTACAGAACTCCTCCTACACCGTTAACCCCACCACTGGCACCCTGGTAATGCCCTTATGGTTGCTTTGGAAAGAAGGAAAGGTTCCTTCACTTTGCATTGCGTGGCGTGCAAGGGATAATCTGCAAAAGGTTCTGTGTTCTAGGATCTGGGTGACTTTGGGACAGGAAAGATTCATTTGATGGAAGGCCCTACGACCTTAGCTGTTTGACTGTGAGGTTTTGATGTTCTGCTTCCCCTTTTCTTCTCCTCAGGTCTTCCACGCCGTGCACAAAGGCGACACAGGCCGTTACTCCTGTATCGCAACCAACGACGCGGGTTTTGCCAAGTGCGAGGAGCAGGAGATGGAAGTCTGTGAGTGCCCCTGCAATGTTCATTGATATGTCATCTTTAATGTATTCTCGGCACTGTAAGGCAAGGAGAAAATATTGCCGTAAGAAAATATTGGATTTTCTCTTTTCTCTTTGCCAGATGACCTCAATATTGGGGGGATAATTGGCGGAGTCCTGGTGGTCCTTGCAGTTTTGGTGCTCATCACTTTTGGTATCTGCTGTGCCTACAGAAGGGGCTACTTTGCAAACAGTAAAGAGGCTGGGGAAAGGTAAGCTGCAATTCCGAGGGATCTTGTCCATGTCCCTGTGCCCTCAGCTGGTCTGAAAGGGGGCAGAAATTCATGGCCAAAATGTATTTCAGTGCAYGGCCTGGACGTATTTCTTACTAGTCCCCTCCGAAAGAGTACAGGGCAACCCAGCTCTTGAACTATGCAGTTCCTCCCTGTAAACACTGCACCATGCTGGAGGCCTATGTGCCCGAGGGACACTTTTGAGGTGGCTCCACTTATGGTTGCTGCCAAGGGCTTGCAGGGCAGGTGAGCACAATCCTGTGCATGCTGTGTGCATGAGTGTTTGCCCAGGGGGTTACGTGGTGCTGGCACACAGAGGTCAACAATTTCATGAGCAGAACACGTTGCCTAATCAGCTCAAAGCATTAGGGCAGGCATTACATGTGAAAGAGTAACCTCTGTGCAGAAAATCTCACTAGTTGTGACTGGGATTAAAAATGAACATTATAGAATGTGCACTGGAATTTTAGAACAAGAGTATTAGGATTTAAAGAGACAGTTTCTCGATGGATCATGGATCTGAAACAAGCCTTGATATCCTTACAACATCTGTATAAGGAATAATATGTATACAAGTAGGATTYTCACTAGATTTGTCTATGTTAAATGCTTGCTTTTAATTGCACTGGTCTTCCTATGTTCTCTTCTTTCAYCTCCCCTCTTTCTTGTCCCAGAAATGAGATCTTTTCCTCTATTTCAGCTACAAGGCTCCAGCAAAACCTGAYGGCGTTAACTATATCCGAACAGATGATGAGGTAACAAATGATTTGCATTTAACATCTCTCTATGTAGGAGAGGCAAAGGACTACAGGCTTTTTTTAGGGAATGTAGTCTTTCTTCGAGTGGGCACTGCTCAGAAGCAAGCATGTATAACAGAGAAAACAGAAGGGTAAAGGCTGAGTCATTTCCTTAGAAAAGATGAGCAGTTTAAGTTGTCTTAAGTGACTGATGCCAAGAGCTATCAAAAGCAGCTCTGTTCTGTCTCAGTTATCTCATGACTTGACCCCCTTAGGATGAGTTTCATTGGATTAAGTGGGCAGGCCATGATGCTTTTGTAAGAGAATTTGCATTTTGGGATTTGAATAGCTCACTAAGCTCAAGATCAGAAAAAGCCTCTCTCCATTAGCAGAGTTACTGAGGAGGCAATGAGAAAGTCCACTGCTGTGTCTTGGCACGCGAGGAGGGTGTATGTGAAGAAGCAAAGGAGGATCTGCCTGGTGTGACTGGGGTCTCCCCCTCCGTACCAGCTAGAAGACGGTGCTACCTGGACACAATGCTCAAACTTGCATGAATAGGGTTTATTTATCATTGAGAGGTATTAGGGGGAAAAAAAGGGTGCTTGGAAAGCCATTAGATCCAGAACTGTTTCRTTGCAGGGTGACTTCAGACACAAATCTTCGTTCGTCATCTAAGATGCCAAAAGAATATTGCAAACCAGCAAAAGCAAGTGTGCAAATACCTCCTCCAGGAACTCAACACAAGAGCAAAAGATGAAACAAGTGCGCTTGGGAGAGTTTGGAACACCCCGGGACTTGCTAGATAGCTATCTGTATACCTTTTTTTCTTTGCCAAAGTTTAAAGTAACTCCTCACTGCCCAGCCTGCATCTCCCCTGCCTCTGGAGATACCGACAGGATCACCTAAACCTCTCCGCRGAGTAAGAAAGGGTTTTAACGCTTCTCCAGACTGCTGTGGAGGTCTGCGGAACTGCCTTCTCTTTGTGCTGCAGGGACGCAGCCACAAGGTGCAAAGCGAGCAGGGAAGCAGCTTTAACGGAGCGCGTATCTCAGCCCGCTAGGGCAAAAGGGTGCTGATATGGCAGCAGAAAGGCCTCGAGGAATAAGGGTTGTCCATGCAAGGGGGACTCGCTCTCAGCAGCTCGCTGCTGAGTCACACGTTTGTGATTGTCTGGCGCTTTCGACTCTCAACTGCTCAGGTGCAGAATGGGTAGCTGGATAGTTTACAGTGGCAGATACCGAAGCAGTAAGTGCAACTAATGTTCACAGCCCTTTCGTCCACTCCCTTGACTCCTTTTAACACGGAAGCTGGCGCAGGCAGCGTCAGTCCAGCAGGACTGATCCTGTTCGCTGCTCTGTAGGAACTCACTGCACGCAGGTAACCCCTAATCCCCATCTGCGCGGCGCAGACTTGCCTCGGGCGCCTTTTCCAGAGGCTCCCGTTGGAGGCAGAGAACCTAGTGCTAAGACATCCCTTTCAGGAAAACTAAAGCCAAATACAGAGTCCCAGAAAAGGTACTGAGATGTCTTGAAGCTTTTTTACCTTCTGTGTTTATTTTATAAAATCCCACGTTCTAAATTTTTTGCAAAGATATATTTTGATTACTACAGAAAAAGGTAACATTTCTATTTAAAGTGTAAATATGTGATGCCAGCAGGGTTTAAGTAATGTAGCTATTTTTTTACTGTCTAAGCTACAGAGAGGAGCTCTAATGTTGCAATAGTATGGTACTGTCAGAGCATATCAGTATTATTGCAAAGTGTAATACACAACTGCAGGTGGAACAGCATCTCCTTCCTCTTAAGCTAGCTGCAGCAATTTCCTTGTCACAAGAGGTCTTACAAGGCACAGAGCAGAGTCACTCAGGGATAGTTTTTGTAAATTTATGGCAGGAGCTATCAACTTTTTTTAAATATAAAAATTACCTTTCTTGCAAGTGACCAACACTTAGTTTTTGTTGTTGCAAGAAACATCGAGGGATGGCTTTTGGGATTCAGTTCTGACAAGGTGACAGAGTGACTTTGTATTTGCTACCCTCCTCTAACGTTTGCTAAAGCACTAACACCGTTTGTGACAGCGATGCCGACTTGACAGGCTCATATTGCAAAGCAAAGGCAACTGGCTCTRGAGTTGGGGAAGCAAAAGCTCAATACAAAAGCACTTTTGCAGTGTCATTTGCAATTTTTCTCTAGACAATAAAAGAAAAATAAAGAATAGTTTCTCATAGCTTTAAAGGGAATAATTGGAACCCCTTGTTTCCTGAAAATATGTATGTTAATAGTGTTGAACAGCATTGGGTACTGTAAAACTGCAGGATGTGGATGCAACACTAGAACTGTGCTGTGATTTAAGATTTTTTTTATATGTAGCATAATTTAGYGTTCTTGTATTTCCGATTGAGTTGTCTTAATTTTTCATGTATACAGTATTTTGAATACTTGACMATTTGGACTGTCAGTGTTATTTTTTAGTGTTCTGCATTAATCTGCTTTGATCTTTTCACCGAATAGTTACTCTGTCAACCTAGGGCCCTCGCTGGCCATGCCATTGCTGCCTTTGTTTTGCCTAAAATCTAGCATTACCACTTTTCCTTTTGCTAATGAAAGCAAAAAGAGGGGGCAGCCCTAACCATATGTTCTCTATGGAACAGGGCCGTGACCACTGCAAATGAATTCGGGCTACCTTTTTAAGACATGCTCTTCAACCAAGCCACACAGCATTGCTTACTGTCTGTGTGCTGCCTCTCATCATCCTGACCGTAGTGAGGGTAACATTCCTTTGCACCTTCTGTATATCCACTACTCTTTTTTTCTCTTGGTTGTATTTTTTTTTCTGCTTTTAAGATACCTGTCGTAAGGGAGAGGAAGAAAAGGTTTGATTCAGGGTAGCTCTGGGCGCTATGGGAGTACAATCTACAGCCTCACCGTGAGCTGAGGGCAGCCTTCGTGTGAGAAACGTGTAAGCTAAGAATCAAGACTGTGGTTCAGTTGTAAAAATGTGACAGTGGCATCTTTAACGAGAGAAGGGGAGATGACCCCCTAAAAGAGCTCACGAGACATGATTGACTAGAACTCATTGTATCTTTGTGAATAATATTCAGGTTTGTACTAATGTATTATGTTTAACTTTACCAAGAATGTTTTACATAAATACCAAGTTATAAAGTATTCTTGTGCTTTTTTTGTTTGGTTTTTGAACAGTCACATTAATGGCAGTCTTTGCTTTCAATTCAGGAAAATAACGGAAGGTGGTTAAGTAACTGTTTAAGGCAGGAGAGAAGGAACAAAAAGAATGGATTTGGCCATAATTTGTCATACTATTTGTCACCTGTACCCAAGTGCCTTGGGAAAGGCCCGTGCCCTCAGCCTCTGGGTTTCTCCTCTTTTGGAAGAGCCAACTCCCTTGMTGTTGTTCCCGCTGGAACAAGCCAAACCAGCATGAACAAGACAGACTCCATTTCCAAATTTCAATGAAATCTAGAACAAGAGCTCTGCAATAAAACTGACACCTGAAAAACTMCAGTTAGGTTCACAGGGCACCGGAGAAGCTTGGGAACAATCAGGATTCCAGCATTTGCGCAGCACATTCATTATAAACCAGTTCTCTGGATGGAGCAAAAAGCTGTGCCTATGATTTACCAACCTTGATTTCAGTCAAGAGTCTATATRCAAAAGCTGCTGAGTCCAACACTAATTGATCTGAGTGCCTAAAATACCAGTGACAGAGTGCAAGAAGTTTTGAGGCTGTAGAAATCTATAGAAAAGAACATAATTTCTCTGTCAGATGACGAAGAGTGGAGAACTTGTGGGTGGAATTAATTCTCTAAACATTTATTTTCATAAAAATTTAATAGTTGGAAATAACATAGTTCACAAATGGAAATATTCCATTTAAAAGTTAACACTATGAGGCTGTTCATACACATAGGAGTTTGCACAACAAAGCAGACCTGCAGTAGCATGCAATTACCAGATTTAGGGGTGTGGCAGTGACAAGCTGTTCTACCTTTGTTAAAATTAAAGCAACTATAGTATATCATCAAAAGGGACAACACAGCATCAAGTGAATGAGGCCGAGCCATTCACTTCCCTGCAAGCTGTGATAAACACATTCATTGCTAAGCTCGTGGCAGCACTCTGCTCTTACTTCTCCAAATGGACAAATTATACATCCTGTGAGGGAAGAGGAAAACCTCCTTTTTATACTGGAGCTTTTTAACACTCCAGTGAGCAGCAGCTTATTACATATACATGTGTTAATGCAAGCTTTGCAGGCCCATATGTACGAGAGTTTCATGTTAAAAGAGAGAGAGAGATATGGAAGGAAGGACATATGTCCACAGTGATTTATAATTACAGAGGAAAGAGACAGATTGCAGACAACATGATGAAGATTCTGTACAGGAGTTCATTGAAAGGACTGGTTGTCTGGTTTCAGAGGAGTTCTCCGCTGGGACCGCCTCAGTGGGACACGCTGCTTGTTTTTTTTCACTGCTGGAGATTCTAGTTTCCACTCCCGTGGCAAGGATGGTCTAGAAAAAGGAAGCAGAGCGACCATTTATTTTTGAAATCCTCTACCAGCCTTTCTTACTGTGACTGCTGTTTCAGACCCAAGTTGAACTTACGGTTTCTCTGGTGATGTCAAACAGATAACATCCCTAGGCTGGTCCTCAACCTCTTTCTTTTCTGCAAATAATGCATATATTTTCATATTTTTAAAAATGCCACAGATTAGWTCATTTGGGTTTTTGCCCCCTCAAGTTAGAATCACAAAGATAACTTGCCTGTAGCCGAACCTGGCGTGTGCGTCAAGCTGATGTAACTGACCCCAGCACCAAAAGTCAAGTCATTAATGGTCTCTGAAAGAAAAAAAAACACTCATGAGCAGTCATTGCTATGCATTGAACTTGATGGGCCATCTGTGCACATCAGTTACATACCCCATTTACAGCCTTCCTCGTGAGTGGAGGAATGAATGATTAAATTTTGATGTAGGACCTCAGTTGTGCCCATCTCTGCCCTAGCTAGACAGGAGAGCCACAGCTTCCACTGAAGCTTAGCCATCCTCTGCAACAACTACACCAGCTCCTGCTCTGCTGCTGGAATTAATTCACTCCTGCTAGCACTCACCAGTGAATCACTTTCWGACCTGTTGGTTTACCTAGTCAAGGCAGAGCACAAAGCCCTTGAGGATTGACAAAATACCCAAATAGCCCCTCTGTGAGRACTGTTGGCGGCCAGATGTGAGGAACCACTTGACAGGGAAGCAAGGAGGAATTTAGCTTGCCTGAATGGGCCATAGTTGTCAGCTGTCTTTTTGCTGTCATTTATCTCAGGAGGGATGTCACAACACTCGGATTTTACCACACTCAACTCTCTGCTTTATGTTCATATTTCCCAGAACCTTTCACAAAGAATTAAGGTAGAAAGTGCCTTACAGGACAGGAGGTGGAAACTCTGCTTCTCTCTAAAGAGCGAGTGCGTTTGCTCTCAAACTCTTTCGCTGTCCTGAAAGGGACTCACTGAAGCATGTAGTGGAAGGCCAATTTCTTATGGCTTAGCTAACCTCTGAATCTCTCATGACTGACTGCAGGCATTTTGGCTTTGCACAGGGTGCCTTAAGAAGACAGCTTGGTTAATAAATTTATGTGAAAAAAGAGAAAGGAAGAACTGGCAGAGAACCATCAGCAGGTAAGGCAATTAAAAGGTCTACTTTTACATGTGCTAATGTGCTACAGAGAAGCAACCTACACTTCCTCAGCCCACTTAGCCATTTTTAAGGTAAAGAGCAGGAGAGACAAGAAAGCCCCAAAAAGCAGGGAGCAAATGTCAGGCAGAAGAGCTCATTATGGTAGAGAGAAGAATATGGGAGAGAGAAGACAGAGCGTTGCTCTTAATAAACAATTTTGTAAATGAGAAGAACTGCATCTCCAAGAGTCTCAGAATGACATACCAGAGAAAGAAAGAAAACATTTTTGGATTGTCTGTCATCTTGAAAGGCCCAGCACCACCAAGCAGGTGGCTCAACGCACGCTAACTGAAGTGATGATCCTGTTCCGTACAGTTTGTCTCCCCACTGAAGGACAGATGCTTCYTCGAAGCAAAGCAGGAATTCAGCCTTAGTACCGCTGCAGATTAACATTCTCCCTCTTTCTTCACCATATGGTGCTTCAGAGCAACAGCAGTGCAAGCTTCCAGATAGAGACTCAGCACTTAAAGATGTCTGCTCTCCAAAACGCACCCTCCCCAGTTCTGCACAAAGATCACTGCTTGCTGCTCACACAGCAAAGGGAACATTGAGGCAGACAACTTTAGCAAAGAGTAGAGCATACAGGGAAGAGAAAAATCGGATTTTCCAGTGGATGCACATCGCTACCGTTGGTTTGCTCCTGCCTGCTCATGAATGTCAGGTATTTGCAGACAGCTGCACAGCTGGCTGCCTTATTGGCCATATGCAGTTGCCTCTCCTGTGAATGCAGGTCAGGTATTTGCACAGATTTGGGCAAATACTGCAGATGTACACAGAGGCCTGTAGAATAAAAAGAACTCACAGCTGCCCAATGCAACCTGACTTGTTGGACACTCCTGTACTCCCAGCTTAACGGGAGCTTTCCTGAGCGTGAGGAGGAGTTAATCACACACAGTCYATGCTACAGCAGAGATGCCCTGCAGGAGTTTAGCAGTGAACTGACATAAAGGAAGGAAATCTACTGCTGAAACTCAGCTCTGTTTTCTACTATAACTGTCTTTTGTGCCTGTACAAAGGGACACCACAGAACGCTCCAAGAATGTCAGAAAGCATCCCAAAAAAACTAACTTTTGAAGGTCAGGTTTTATGAGATGGTAATTCAGCTGCAGAGGTCATAAGCACAGCAGATTCTCTTAACTTGTGTATCAGTATTGAACTCCTCTCTATGCATTTCTACTTTAATTTCCACAGCMGAGTAGGAGAACAAGTCATTCCTTCTCCAATTCTGAGTTCACTTCTTGCTTAGGAGTACAGCGCACACGCAGAAATGACTGTGTAGGTTATTAATGCCAGCTGAGCAATCTCCTCCATTTCTCACACTTGTCACAGCCCACCGCCTGCTTTGCTAACAGCAGCAGGGCCTCCTTCACGTGGGATCCTCTGTTTAGATAGCAAGAAAGTATATCTTTGAGGACTTCCCTCTGCAGCAGGGTTCTATAGGTCAGTTTTTCAAAACACTAAACTGTGCTTCTGGATTTAGAAAGAGTGAGCATCTCAAAGCAAGAGGCACTTGCAAACCCCAGTCAACACACGCTGCTAAGGAGCTCAGCGCCCCAAAGCTGATGAAGGAAGAAAGGGCACTAGCTCYGTTACTTCAGCAGCCAGATACTGGTACTCCCTTGCATTGACTCAAAACTGTAATACCCTGTGACATGTAAATGGAGACCATATGAATTGGCCTTTCTTATGTCTATCACTCACCCCAGACCTTCACCTTTGTAATGGTTTGTCCTTACTACCACCTTTATAATAAATAATCAGTTAACACTGATTACTTTTCTCTGCTCTGTAGAGGGACCACACACTGCAACATCTCTCAGAGAATGGATGCTCAGTCCAGGTTAGGAAGGACTCCTTTGGGTTACTCACGTTCCGGGGTACTGATTGCACGGCCCACTACAGAAACGTTCGCTCCTGTAGACTGTTGGTTCAGGCTTTGAAGGGATCCTAAAAAYAACGAGGAAATAGTTAAGAACAGAAGAGCATTCACTGGGAGCCACTGAAGGTCTAACTACAAAGCTGTATCAACTAGATGCAGTCCATTATCCATCTGTTTGCAGCAAGCTGCCTACCTTGCTTGCTGCCAGTTGTGCTCGATGGAAAAGATGCTGCTGACAAACTTCCTCCAACACTCTTACTGCGTTGCTTGCTCCTGGCCTCCATCGCTTTCTTGGCCGAGTTCAGGATGGCAAATGTGCTCAAGGACACTGGCCTACAGGACAAAAAGCCACCAGAGAAGYACTCAAGAGATTTCTTTCTTCAAGACCAGATGAGATACATGTGATGAGGGAGGGTCCTATCTCCTCCCAATTACTTGCAATCTCAGACACCAAAGCAAGAGAAGACTGTGGTGAAACACTGACAGCTTTCATGACAATAAACAAGGAGGGAATGAGCAAGAGCCCTGCAGAACAGCATACCCTGGAAGCCCATACCTGCGACTAATTGGTGGCAGCTTCGGAACATCAGCCGGAGGTGTAATGAAGTCAGAGGAGGAAGAGGAGAGATGCAATCCTCCCGGCAAGGACTGTCTCCGAGTAGCCGGAGACTCGGCGTCGTTATTCCAGCCGCTGGAAGGTACAGCTGTCTCCAAAGATGGAGGTTGCTACAGAAAACAGGAGAGAAGACCATACATCTAACAATGGATACAAGTGTAGAAGACCTAGACACTTAGCCATAAGTTCTGTCTGATGAAGAAATGTCCTCTGAGTGCTGGGCATAAATAAGGTGCCAGGGAGAAAGAATTTAGCAGCCAAAATTTTAACAAGAATTGAAAGTAACTTTGGATGTGATACAGATGCCCTAGTTTAAAGGTCTACATATAGGCACTCTTCAGAATCAAAGAGGGAAAAGGTACTTTGAGGACAAAAGTCATCTCATCTTAAGGCAGGTATTAAAAATATTACAGGACAGTTTATCCCAGTATATTTTTATTTCTTTATGTTGACTTTAAAAGAGGATTTGCCTGCCTAGCATAGATGTACGTTTCCACCCTGTACACATCTGAAGTCAKGCAAAACAAACCCTTCTCTTTGTGACCTGTCTATCCTCTTAACAGARGGGCCTCATTTTATTCAGAAAACAGGGCTTGAAAATAAGGCTGCATTGAAATAGATACTGAGGCATCAGCAAGGCCATCACTTTAGGAAGCTGTGATGTAATGATAATTTAGAGCTTAAAGATGATACACTGAATGATCCTCAGTACAGATGCTGGTAAAGCATCTATAGAGCACATGTAGGTGAATRGAATTAGAGGGACTGTCTCCATAACAGCCACTAAAAGCCAAGAAAAGGAGTGGTTGCTGTTGTCAGCTCCAAACAGATGCAGAATTGGTCTGGTATGATACAGCCTGCAACTTAAGAGTGGCTAGAAATTCAGCTAAATATTAACTTCTATTTTTCTCTGGGAACAGAGAATAATACAGGATATTAATGCAGCCAGTAGCAAATTAGACTTGGCCTCCTCTTTAAGGTAAATTATATTTAAATTAATTCTTTGCTGTTCCTCTTTGGCTTTGTGCTTGATTTTGTTTTATTTAAATGTATTTAATGACTCTGAAACCAAAGCTTCTGTCAGCTAGTATGAAAGCTGAGAGAACATTACATTAACCATCCTGTTAAGAGTTATATAAAAAGGTTCACAGACACACAAGCCCTGGGAATTATCTGCAGCATAAATTTTAGTAGAGGAGACAGGACTTGTACAGAGCAAATGGCAACAACCACCTCTGTCTGTGCTGTCTTGACCTTGTCTTGGTCGGATTCCTTCTCCCTTGCCAGTTGCTCTTCATATTTCTTCATGTCATACTCCAGCTCAGCTGCCAGCTGCTTGTCCACAGCAAAGAAGTCTTTGATTTCATTTCGGTAATCTTGCATCATTTCCTGGAACAATAAGGAGTGTTTAAACTCTTAAAAAAAAAAAAAAAACCCTCTCTCCTGACTGCTGATTCATGCCTCCATTCAGATCACAGCTGTTTAACTGTAAAAGGAAATACCAGTTGGTACACCAGAGATGTTTCCAGCAGACTAAGAGTTTCAATTCCGATTTGTACTTTGGAACATGAAAAAGCTCTCTGCCCACATCCCACTGAAGAGACACGTAACACACTGCTCTGCCTCCTACATAATTTAACACGGTGACAGTGTCACAGCATCACATGCCTTCAAAATTTCCTTCCAAGAAGGCTGTTCTTCCACTGCTGCTCACACAACTAACACATGAACTTGAGAGGGGTAAAAAAACAAAACAAAAGCACTTCTACCTACCCGTAGATAGTTCATGAGGTCCCTTAGAGCTGGAATCCTCTTCTGTTCCATCAGAGACTTCAGTGAAGTGATTATAGGGATGATGTTTTCTATGAAGTTTTTCTTTTGAACCTTTTTTTGAACAAGTCACAAACAGTTAGGAGAGGTCGTACGGTTGTTAGATGAATGGCCTAAATAAAGACTTGTTAGTTCTTAGCAAAGAAACACAGTGCATCCACAGGCGCCCTAAGATCAGAGAGGTCCTACATAGAGAGGCTGAAGAGCAGCATACAAGCCCAGTGGGTCCTTGGCAATTTTTGCACRAGGCGCTCTGACCCAGAAGGGCAGCATTTCTCCCAGCACAGTGAAGAGCCCTCTTTCTATCCCAGAGCAAGTGCCACTCACCTGTGAGATGAGCTTTTTCTGTGCTGCCTGCATAACTGCATTGGCCATTGCCATTTCATCTTCATCAGGCTGCACGTCATCTTCAGGTTTCGATCTCATAGTGGATAACTTGATTTCTTTGCAGCTAAGGATRGCAAATGTATCCGAGAGCAACTCACTGGCTTCCAGGTCCAGTGGAAGTACCTTATCCACAAAGCATGCTGTAACAGGGAAGAAATAAGAGAACGTTCTCCTGGCAACAGCAATGCCAGTAAAGATACAAGGATATCACCGAGGGATTGGGAGCCTATCTGCTTCATAGAGACTCCATGTTTTTGCCAGATTTGTTATCTTATTTACTTAGAGAGAAACTCCTACCTAGAACACTGTGGCTAATCTTTGTTGTAATGCTGAACCTCTGCTCATCTGTGAAGTGGTCTAGCAGGAACTTGTAGATATGCATCCTCTTTCCTTTGTTATCTTTTCCCTTCAAAGAAAAGAGATTCTTCGCCCTGCAGTAGAGGAAGGTGTTTTACAGGGATTAAGCCACATTACACAAACCTACTGAAACAGCAAGATTTTAAGGAGCCTTTGAATGCCATCCTCAAGATCTATGAACCAGTTAGGATGCCACACGCTGGCACAAATTACAGAACTCCTCCCAAAAGGAGGTCACAGGGAAGGCAGGGCATTCTTAAATTCATACCACCTCCCCTTACCTCGCTTAATCCCACCCTCCGCCTTGCAGCCACTATATAAAGCGTCAGGAAAGCTTTGCTGCAATCCAGAAGAGCACGACCACGGATCCCAGCTTCGTGGGAAGGGGATAGAGGTGCTCAACTAACCGTTCGCTCTGGGGGAACCTGTTGTACTTCTCGTGCTTCTCGTAGCTGTTGAAGTGGAAGATGCACTCAATGAAGTGTTGCGAGAACATCGCTGGATTTCTCTTCAGCAGGAGATGCACCAGGCAGAATTCCCCAAACCTGAAAAGGAGTAAGAGAAAGAACTAGTACAAGGACAAGTGAGAGGGAATCCTTCCCTGGCTAACAAACAGTAGGAATACATACTTGGGGTTTGGAGGGGGAAATACTATTTAAAATGACAGCGTTCATTTTAGCATTGACACATACAGTCTGATGTCTGGGCACATGCAGAAATCTATTAGCTGCTTCCAAAAGTCCCTACGACTGGACCATATTTAACAATACTCTCCTCCTCTGCTCATACCCAAAGCCTCCAGTCATGCTCAGGATAATAAGTGTTGGACAAATTAGTTTCTACTTGGCAACAGGACRCAAGGTAGCAGCTGGACATCAAGGCATTTTTACGTTCCCCTCCCCGCCACTTCAATAGGAAGGCAACTCAACAAAAATCTCATTTTCTGTATTTTGCAAAGTTAATCAACACAAGACCTGCAAGAGCTGGAAGTTAATCCCAGCCTGGAAGAAAGTGTTTTTATCTGGATGCAGCCACTGAATGCAGATGCGAAGAAGGTGGCTCCCAAGGGAATAGCAATGTATTCCTCAGCTAAAGCACAGGGAATGTGATGTTGCAATGCCACCATCTACTGGAAAGACATTTTTACATACTAAAAACCATGTAAAAGCAGCAAAGGTGTGACTGTGCACTAATAAGCAATGCTCAGTTCACGTTCCTGAAAACATTTTGACTGCTGCAGGAAGCAGCCTAAGCTTCAGCATCCCYAACTTGCTCCTGTTCTCAAGGGAACCTGCCCCTCTTCAGCCCTCATCATTCATGGACTAACAGTATCAAATACGTGTTGCTGAGAATACTCAGCCTGGCCTTAAACCATCTACTCTCTATACCCAGATCAAATGTGTCGGTACTGAGCTGCAAGGGGCCTACTCTCATTTCTCATGTAACAGTGAATAGTTAGAGACTTCAAAATCYACAGAAACTTTACGAAGGAGCACTTCAGGCTAACGTGCATAATTCCTCTCATATGTTCAAGTACTACARAATGTGGTACAAGCCTTACAAAGCTCAGGCTTGCCACATGGGAGAAAGACAGCATTTAATCCTATTCCTAAGGACAAAAGACATCACAGGGCAGAGTCTACTAGAAAATGGGTAGGCAGATTTAAGCCATGTTTCAAACAATGCCCTTTTTTGTGGATGTTTGAGAGTCAAAAAAAAAAAAAAAAAAAAAAGTGCAGAGCTGCAGGCTTTGAGAACAGCCAAGAACACACAGCTTGCTACTTTAGGCTTTGGGACCTTCAACTGACTTGGAAAGTTCAGCACTCCTTTTTGTTACCATTCCAGGTCCTGAACCATGACTGCAGAAGTTAAGAGTGAAATGGCAATGTCACCTGCTGTCTCATGGAAATTTTTCCACATAYGCTGAATGTGCAAGACCGAGATTGCTATTGAGAACAACTTTAACCCTTCGACTCCTTCAGTCTTTTACAGAATGAATATTTTACCTGGCAATATCTGGATTTGGATCCACCAAGACACTGACAAACCGGAAGAACAGACAGTCTTTCCACTTCACAAACTCCTCCTACAAAAAAAAAAAAAAAGTATAATATGAAATATCAGCATCAAGCAGGAAAAAACTAGTGTGAACACTCAGACTGTAGCCAGGGAATTTGCATGGAACCTAGTAGGACCTACATCAAGCAAATGGGCAAGCTACACAACTTCACCAGGAGGCAGGCAAGACAAACAGCACGATGACAATGTTCTGGAGATGCTCTGAACAGCACCACAGCGTCAGGCATCCAGCTTTCCCCCAGGTACAACAGAAAAGTCTGTTCTCCAACGCCAAGGCACAGGTGCTCCTCGATACTGTTCGCAGAGCCAAGCATACAGCAATCTGCCTTGGTTGGGTTCCCATGAACACTGGAGGGCAAACACGTTCTGCCTCTTAGTGTTTACATCTCTAGAGCAATAAACAGAGACATCAGGAGAAAAAAGTGCTCTGGCACTTACTACGTTCCCTCACACAGGCGTGATATGGAAGAGAATTCACAAGAAGCAAAGACAGAACAAGAAGCCATGAAAATGGGATGAAAATAATTTGGTTACCCAACTGCAATAAGTGTATTGGAAGTGAATCCTTCCTAGCTAGCTAGGAAAAAGAAAAGCAGCAAAATACATAGTTTTAAAATCTGCTCAAATCAATTCAAGAATCAAGCCATAAGYAATACACTCGCTCAGGCTGTCAGTATTCAGCACAGAGGTACGTGAAGCGGGTTGCCAAATACACGTCCCACTCTCTATTTACCTGCAGGAGGTTGGTAAGCAGGATCAGCGTCTGCTTACGGATGAAGGGATTAGGGTCTTTCAGACACATGGAAATGTTGGGAATGTATCTGTCCACCATGGTGGTGTAGCGCACACACAGGTCGCACATAACGATGACGACGTTRTTGCGGATGGCCACATCATCCGACACCTCCAGCTCTCGAGCTAGAGCTGCAATGCATTTCTTTGCCAAGTCCTCGTGCTGTAAACACAATTTTCCTGTCAAACAGAGACGAGACTGTCAGTGCTGTGAATATATTCCYGCTCCTTACCACCACAGCCCAGCTTACAGCCTCCTTTGAATCCAGTGGGGGCCAAGAGAGAAAGCAGAAGGTAGACAGGGAATRAACAAGAAACATGCTGAAACCTGATGAGCAATCTGTCAGAGAAAGTGTACCTCAAGGAGCGTCTTCCAGGYATTTTTTAGACCTTAGCAGGTCTAAGAACCTATGTACATTCYTGTGTACTAGTAAAGTAGCTAAAAGGAACAGCCCAAGCTGTCATAGGTATACAGGTAAATCAAATAAGGCTCCTTCAGACAGTTTCTAAGCTCTGTACAAAAGTATTTAGCTTCCCAAGGCAAGTAAGGAAAGAACAACACCATCCACACGCACAAGAAGAGACTCATTCATAGTCTCAGAGGTACTACAAACACAGAAGTTTCACTTAACACTCTTCATGGTTCTGCAGATGCAGATCTCACCAGGTCTCTATCACAAAGGAGCTCTTTACTCCTCCTAAGGAGGACAACTAACTGTGCACGGCCACTCTGCTCTAAAGTACAGGAAAGTACTTTGTTTTTCCATCCTGTGTTGAGCACCTTGTTAGAGACAAAATAATCCTTCAGCCAGACAGCAAGCAGCTCTAGGAGTACAGGGGTAGCACGAGCCTGAAGGATGCATTAACTATTACTCACCYGTATACTTATGCCAGTGTATATTAATAATATATTAATCAATTTCAAAAAGGCACGTATACAGCAGCATTTTCATGGTTTGTGCATCTTGCTGCCACAGATATCTGCACTACCAAGAGCTCCAAGTCGAAGCAGCATGAACGCTGAGCACTGTGCATTACCTATTCTAAGTGCTACAGCTTTTAAAYGGAACTTCAACCAAGGAAGAGGCAGAAGGGTGGAAGCAGATGCACGAGGTCACGCTTCTGCTGCAGGACTGTGCTTACCCAGAGTAATGAAGGCGTGAGCTCTGACCACCGGAGGCATGGTTGATCCTCTGAACTGGGACAAGGGCTGAGAAGCTGGAATTTCCTCACCAGTTAGAGGACTAGACACTAGGATGCAACAGATTGGGAATGAAAACATGCTTTTGGAGTAGAAAGTGTTGTCTGTAAATCACTTAAAGGGAATAAAGATTGCCTTTAGGGACTCACGCTCGTCCACGTTGACAGAAGAAGCCAGGATGGACTGAATCAAAAGAAAGATGCGTTTCTCAACCTTGGCTGGACACAGCTGTGCAGCCTCACCCAGAATGAAGAGATGTTTCACCTACAGRCAATAGAAATACAGCAGTCAAAAGGCAATTGCTAAGCTGCCAATTAAATCAGCAGGAGTCYGCATGGTCCTTCCCCAAAAACAACTTAAAATTCTCTCACTCCTTTCAAGGGGACAGTGGCTAGAGAAGAGAAGCTGAAGCTTAAAAACAGAAGTGTGGGGGTGTGTTAAATAAACTCTCACTCCCTCACACCCACTAATAATATTGAAATAATCCTCAAAGCATTCTAAGCATTTTGCATCTGTTCCCAAATAGCTACTTGGAAAAGCAGTGAAGCAAAGGAAAAACAGATTATTTTATTAAAAATACATGGGACATTATCTCCCTATAGCAACTTCTTATGAAAAGGCTCCTGTAACCTCACATGTCCATCTGTAAAAAAACAAACAAACAAAAAAACCTATCTCAAATCATACACAAGGCATACACATCAGTATTCTCTACACAACACAGTCATGAGCATGATCCTTAAGGAATTTGCCTTTCAAGAGCACATAGATTCTTGGATCAATATGAGAAGGAATATCAGAATATCAAACTTACCAAGAGATCTTCTTGTAGCTGCTCTGCTCCATCCTTCTTGAGGACTATATTTGAGATATAGCTTTCACAGATGGATACTATGTCTCCACACACCTGGTTGAGCAGCTCCTATTTCCACAATGGAACCAAATTAGTTCAGTGCTTTAACCAATAAAACAAATGTAGTTGTAGTAGTTCTCCACATACAAATCTCTAATTTGAATGTGCTCTTCTGTTTAAAAAAAAAAAAAACAATCTAGGTCCTACTGACATCAACCAGACACACTGCCCTTGTTCTTGCCAAAGTTCTTGCATATCAACGGATGCATGAAAGTGCCAAAACACCTCAGAGAATCTGGCTGGTAACGATCCACAGGCCTAAGTTTACGTCATTATAGAAATCACAACAGTTTAAACAGAAAGCTTTCGGGTACAGGGTACAACTGCGTTTGTTTGCAAGTCACATTGTCRTGACTATGCCTAGCAGTGGGGATTTTCCGAGAAAAAATTTTAAAAAACACAACAAAACTCCATCAGCAAAGGCTGGCACATGAAAAGCATTGTGCAGCCTTCCATACTATCTGCTGAAGTTTGTCAGGATGCCTATTATAAAATAGCTGTCATCAGTCTTAAAGAAGAAATATAACCCATGCACACACAGAATTCTTTAGCAGGGGAAACCTGCATCAGTTTTAACTTCTTAGTGATTGCATTTAGATTTTAATAGCAAGAGATATCCTACCTTCTAACTGCAGAAGTGAAACAGAGATATGTCATAAAACAGATGGGGAAGCAGGCAGAAAAATGGGCAAAGGCTGTTCTATTAACTCCCCACTCAGGCCCACGGAAGACATCCAGAAATCATCAATCTACAGCAGTTCTGATACAGAAGAGTTTGAGTTTACAGGATAAGCTTATAGCTTCCAACTGGAGCAATTCCAAGAGGAACTGGTGTCAAATGGCACAGCAATAGTCTCCTTTAAGAGCTCTGTAAACCTTGACAGAAGGAAACGCAGGGTATTTCAGCTGACAAAAAGTCCTTGCAAAGAAAGACCTTTTCCAAGTCCATCCTTAGCTGCAGTGTGCCGAGAGAGTTGAGCAGCAGAGATATAAGTCGCTCAAGTCAGAATCTTTTTGTTTAGTGAGGTAAAGGCTGCAGAGAGCAGACAGGAGCTGCCTTCAAAAGGCAGCCCTCCAAAGAAGTGTGGACAGCCCTCCAAAGATGTGTGAGGCGAGCTATTTTAAAAGATTCATTTGAAGTCACACCTGTGCCTCCTCYGGGACATCTGCATACGCATGGCAGAGTTTCTGCAGAGCTTCTACAGCTGGGCTAATCACCTCCAGGGGACACTGAAACTCCCGCAGCCAGCACTTGATATTATCTGAAAAGGAGGTCACACACCGACGATGAGCATTTTCTTAAGCATTTTCTATTGAAACGCTTTTCTATTTCTTTCTTAAGCATTTTCTATTGAAACGCTTAAGAAAAAAATTACTGTTAAGCTCGAAAGCAAAACCGAGCTCTGCCTTCCTCTGTGCAGTTTCTCCGGGCCACTCACCGATCAGTCTCTCACAGGTGCTCCTAGGGAGGTGCTTTGCGACGTGACCGATGACACACAGGATATGTCCAGTAGTATGAGTGCTTGTGTTCTGCTGCCTGAAAAGTAGCAGAGACAAACTAACATTAATGTTAAGAAATAAAAAGCTTTTCAGCCAGGATGTGTATTATCAAGACAGATCTGTCAAACCAGAAGAAAACTTAAAAAGCTCAGAGTAACAGTTGGTTCCTGCACAAATCTGCAGGTCATACTTGCCTCCTAGCTGGAAACACCCTCAGCCTGAGGAGAAGACTGATCTAAGCAGCTGCTTGTCGAAGGATAAAAGGCACTCACTGCTTTGTTCCCCTTTTTCATCCCCGTCTTTTATGGGGAATGGGGTTCACACATATACCTGCCGATGTTGTTCCAGGCTTCAATGATCTTGGAATAATCCAGTTTGGGTGAGGAACTGGCCATTTTGGCGAGCAGCATCCACGCTGGTGTAGCATGCTCTGTTTCTACGTGGGACATGACATTATTGACAAAGGTGGAGGAGAATTTATTCTGCCGAGACCAAACGTGAAAAGCTTTGTTCAAATAACGGCTACAAGGAAGAAAGAAAGGGAAAAWAAAAAGTTTAGAAAGGAGTAAACAAAATAACTAGTGTTACAGTCTGTCAGTAAAACCAACGTATCTATGCAGGGTACACCAGGCAACATAAGAAAGCTGCTAACACTTTGCATTCGCACTTCTCAGAAGAAGTCAGGATTTTCCACTATACTTTTTTACTAATATTTACCACTCTCTCTCTATTACTCTCTATCTATTATTTTTCTCTGTTTACCTCTAGTCACCTACTTCATGCTGAGAAAGTTCTGAGATTGATCGAGCTGTGAGGTACTTTAAGGTCATCAAGTAGAAGGTGCTATGAAACTGTCTTAAAAAATGCCCAAATTGGAACATCGACAATTTCACAGATTGGCAATGCAACACAATCAGCAGCTCATTTTCTATTCCTGAGCTATKCCTTGTTGACTAATAAACACACAGGTCTATAGTCAACTCATGTTGTATCCCTGCCAYACCGTGTGTCACCCTTTTTCTTTTGCTGCTTCCCACAGTGTTCTGCAAAAGGCAAAATAATACTATTTGTCATAGCACAAGCAACATATTTCACATCAGAATTAATAAAAGGTGCTGTTCTCCTTTCTTTACATACAYATATTCTCTCACTTCTGCCATCAGAACATCATTTCACTTAAATATTCGTTTGGCTAAGAAAAAATAGACAGCACGTGCCATTCAAACAGCACATGAATATGATACATAGCAGTCTCAGGATATACAGCAAATGAGAAAGTCAAAATAACAACCTCAGACTTGCATCTTTAGCCCTCCAATCAAGAGGCAATTTGCTACTGTAAAGGGAAAACTGCATATTCTAACAGGAAGAGAAATAAGGTTTTCCCATGAATGCTAACATAATAAAGGCACTAAAAGCTACCCAGCACACTGGACAAGAGGGCTGTCCCACATATGCCAGTAGAATCCAAGCTGCCTTTCACAGATGACAACGTGAGGGGAAAACAGGTACTTACCACAGCTCCTGGCTTTCTGAAGTCAAGAGGGTAAGGAGCTTCCATGCCAGAACCTGCTTTTCATCGTCACTTCGGAATTTATTGTAATGCTTTATGTGTTGCAACAGGAGTTGATCCAGACAATCCAGGGCTTTTTCTTGGACTGAACTTTCAGTGTCCATCACAACAGGCACCACTCCACATAACCAGGCCTTCTGTACCTGAACATTATGRTGCTGAGACTGAGAGAAAGCAACTTCGTATTAGAAATGTTTTTAAGTCCTATGTGTTTGGATAAGATCAGCAAAAGCCCAGAAACCTTCAGACTCATCTGCCACCTATATTGCCTACAATAAGGCAACATATGGGGCAAAGAGGCTTCTTCACCCCACGCGGTGCCGATCACATCTGTGAGCAAGCTCCCGGGTATTCCTGCTCAAGTTCTGCAAAGCTTTGTTTCACAGCCCTATAAATAATTATAAGTGTCCCAATAAAGCTGTACAGCAGATGATTCAATACTAAAAACAGGGAGCTGTGATTAATATAAACCTCATGCTCTGAGTCTAAGCTACTAACCCTTTGTGAATAAATAGAAAAGCAGGAAAAATACTGCAGTGATACCATCTACACATTACTTCTCTGTAAAGTGATTCAGATTTTTTTTCAACTTGATAAGGCCAACAACATAAACATTTTCTCCATGACACACAAACCAAGAGCCAGGAAAATAAATGTATCCAGCAGTTGGAAGCATCCTACATAAATCACAAGTTTATGTGAGAATGAGTCATGACTTGCAAGTCAAAAGGTAATAAAAAACTTAAAACAGAGTCATAAAAAGAATGTGGATGAATGAACAACTGACATGTACCAGATTTGTCTGTTTCTTCCCTCTTTTAACCCCATTTTGCCCATCTCAGGGCTGGGCTATTTCTCCTCACCGCAAGCAGCTCCGTTATGGACTGCAAGGCCTGTTTCCGTACAGTAATAGCGGGGTCCCGGCAACGATCCTGAAGAGTGGACAAGTCTTCTGGAGTACAGGGAATCACGTTGTTTTTCAGGATGCTCATAAAAACCTGCAAATCAAAGCCAGGATACCTTTTTTTTTGGACACAGAGGCTGTGAGAATTTGGTAGCAGATCAGAAATACAACCCACACCCTACCAGCCTCAGCTAGAGGTTAGCTAATTTCACTGACTGTGAACATCACATTCACAATAAGAACTGGGCAGAACCAGAGAGGTAGATGCAATAGACAGCATCTTTTCCATTTAGATTTTGTACAAAGTCAGCTTCACATTTTCCCCTTGAAACTGATTGTGTCTTTTGTGTGAACTAGGTCTTTTATCCAGTTAGAAGAAAGAGGGGAAAAAAAAATTCAAAGCCCTGCAACAAAAAGCTAAAAAGCCATAAGCTAAGAAACTCAAATCAGTGGGGGAACTGAGGGGAAAATTGGGGGCAACCAGGACTAACACAAAGAAAGGCAGTCAACAATAATGTTTCCATTAAACAATGCAGTTTTTAAAGCTAATGACTTCATTAAAGAACTGAGCAACAAGCAGAGAAATGCATTCCTCTACTAGAGGCGGGATACAACCTAGTATCTTTCCTAATGAGGTCAAAGCAAACTAAGCAGCTAATATGCTTGGGTTTATAAGGAAGCTGCTTGATTTAAAAGTCTATTGACAAATGAGGCTCTCTCTTTAAAGGACAGGATATGGGCCTGTGAGCAAGAGCACTAGGAAAGGTTTTCAGCACCCTATTTGTATTATTCACTTATCAGGAACTGGTCAATAACCCCTTTTTAMGGCCTGTTTGTACTCTGCAGGAAGAGCCAGCATCTGCAGGCAGACACACTTACACACACATCGCCTCAGTACTGTGGCCTATTTCATTTAATGCCACTCCTGGTAATCATGGAGAGCAAAGAAGCAGTCAAAAAAACATACCTGGAGAGCSGATTTCCTCACATTGGTCTTCTCATCCCCTGCTCTCAGTCTCAGCATGGCCATGATCTCTTTTCCTATCCAAATCCACAATGAAAAAGAAAYTATAGAAGACTGCCCAAAGCATCATTTGGCAGGGCTAACACAGGCAACATTGTGCAGCAGCAGGGAGAGGYAGAGCTCTGCACTCTGCTGAGCAGCTCTCAGTGCCAGAGGCTTTCAGGGAGCAAGAAAGGGGGACTGATCAAAACAGGAYTATCTGGGGGTTTTTGTCCTCATAAGATATAAACAAATGGAATTTAAAAGAGAAATCCCTTTTTTGTTTCTTTCCTCCAATTAAAAAGAGTATTTTAGGACATATCACAAAAGAAAGTAATATATCAAGTCATTGGATACGTGCAGCAAAAAGAAATAATCTGCAATTTCCAGCCCATTTATTTCTCTGCATAAGAAATGTTAGGCTGGCATTAAAGTTTGAAAGCCTCATCAAATGAATCACGCACAGCTCCAACAAAAGTCTGGAGCACATATAACCYTGCCATCTGCGGGGAAAAATACTTTGAGGCCAGCCCACAAACAAATGAATCCAGTCCAGACCCAAGATAGGTCGACAGACTTCTATGCAAAGAGCTCCTCATGACTAGGATGTTTTTGACTAATGCCTCACACCTCCACACGGCGTGAACACACGCACTTGTGTACTTGCTAGAGCAGAGACTGTTCCCACTTGCAACCCGACCAAATTGCCTTGGGGTTGCGGAACGGCTCTTGCAGAGAAGAGCCCAAGAGTCCACGTGGACAACAGGAAACTCCTCCTGCCATCAGTGGAAAGAGAGCCCTAAAATTCTCCTTGTCCTAGCCATATGCATGCATATTTCTGTACATTTGTGGGAAAAATACTTAATCAAGATGACGGCTCGCTCAAGATGATTGCTTATTAGCTGACACATAGCTGAATACATAAAGCCACAATCAACTGCTGCTTAGCTTTCAAACGATTCAAAAGGACTGATGACAAGCTGGCAGTTGCAATCATTTTACCAGTGCTTCCAAGGCCTCTATAATCCCTGTTGTAATTGTGTCAATGATAACTAAGATTTTCCAAACAGATACCAAGTTTGGAGATCTGCTGGATACAGAAATCCATCTGAAGATCYACTGTGCTGCCATTAAGAAATGACATTAGTCACAGGGGTCTGTTGAAAATTAGTTTGGAGATCGATTTTGACCAGAGAAAATAAAGGRACTTGGATCTGTGCGATTAGTGTTTCCTTCCTGGGCAGCTAGCTACCATCTCACCTTCCTCCTCAAAATAGCTTGACAGAAAAAGCACAGAATGTTTTCATTGCAAGATTTTTGCCTTGAAAACAGTTCAGCTTTTGTGAAGGTCGCCAAATCTGCTAAAACAATCGCATTTTGCCAATTGGCATTAATTTTACTCACAGGAACACAGGGAAAAAATACAGAGTTCTAAAAAGCTGAGAACTAGCAAGGGAACACAATGTGCATACACTGCTGGGTACTGCATATTCTGTAGCACACATTTCTCTCTGTATACTGTCCCTATCCTTCTCATCTTTGCCCACATGCATTTAGCACATCCTGCTTAGCCTTGGCTGAGATTTATTTTATGTCTGAAATATGAGCTGTTTGATCTTCATAAAAGTGCAAAATTAGTACAGGCACAAGCCAGACACAAAYGCGTGCCAGAGAGCTTTGCTAATGCACCTTGACTGACTCACTGAGCCCTGTATTTCAGCTATCCTCTGGAGCCCCAGACAGCCTTTTTTATTCAATCCCTTTCTCAATTTGTTTAGCCAAGTGCCAACTGTATGCTCAGCTGGGTATCAGACACAAAACCAGGGATCCTCTGCTACAAGGAGCCAGCAACTAACCAGGGAATACACAATACCATAAGTGGCCTGGAGGACATTTCTATCTGAGGCAGCAGATTAACCAAATTTATCAGTGAAATGTTTTCAAAAAAAAAAAAAGCTTTGAAAAGAAAAGATGGCAGCCTGGCTCACGGAGATAGCAAGAGAGATCCCATGTGAAGAGCAGCAGGAGACGTGCGACAAAGACACAAATGCAGGGTGTCAACCAAACAATGAACCGAATTGTCCGCAGCTCAAGGGAGGTGAACAGCAAGAACTGAGAGCAAAGATGATGGCAGAGGCTTAAACGTTAGAAAGAAAAGCTTTTGCATGGAAGAGGAAAAGAAAGGAAAGGATTCAAAGAGGGAAAATAATGGCCACAACAGCCAACTTGCATGTTGATTTTATGCTATCAACAAAATAAGGCTAGCAGGTTGCCATTCTGCATCAGTCCATTTAACCTCACACTCCGCTTTCAACCCCAGCCAATACCTGATGCTGCAGAGAAGTTAATTCTTCCCTACATAACAGGGCTAGTCAAAGGTGCTCTGTTTTATGTAGTGAAAAATATATTAGTTCTTTGTGCACTGAAGCAAAAGGAGATTTAATTACCCTTAAATTTATAGACCTGCAAGTATTATATCCCAACATCAATTACTATCCTTTTCAGAAAGGATAAATTACCTGATTTTCAACAAGTGTTGCTACCCCATTAGTGGAAATGAACATCAGTATTTCAAGATTAAATGTATTTTTCAGACTTAAGTGGACAGAGGATTTCTTTATGGCTGGCAAATCCACTCCCTTCATCACCTGCAAGTGGTTTTTAACAGCTCCAGAAAAAGCTCCCTCCACTTTCTCTGAAAAATGGGCAACGAGTATATTTTAGAAAAACTGATTTCAACTAAACTTTTGAAAGCCATCTAGGAAAACTAGCATAATTTTGACATACCATCAAGCACAGCACTATCGTTGCTATCTGTCAACTCAATAGTTTTGAAAGTTGGTAGGGTCTTCAGTGGATGGCTGGACAGAACTGAAAGAAAGGTTAAAACTTTAAGAATAAAAATGGCACATGTTCACTCAGCAATACGGTTCATTGCTAAAGAGAAAGCTTCAGGCATTCCCTAAACCTTATAAATATATGTATTTTTTTTTTAAGCATGTCAAGAAAAGCCTAAGACTAATTATAAAAGAATAACTCTATACCTTCTGCATCAACCATCAAACTCGCTGTGTTTGCATTTGCTTCCAAGACGGTGTGGTCAGAGGCTGCCAAAAAGAAATTAAAAAGAAAAGAATTTAAATTTAGTATTTCCATTTAGGATAGTCTGTCATTCCAAATATTCTCAGAAAAGTAATCTAACCGTAGGGTGCTATATTCACACTTCTGAATTGTGCCATCTGGCTTTTACTGCACCTGAGGGAGTTCAGAATGCCAATCATGAAAAATGCAACTCAGCAGAGGCAAATCAAGATTCTATCAACTGTCAGGCAAGAATTAACTTTTTTTTCCCATATGTCCAAACAAATGATCATCTCGGGGAGGAAACAATTCAGAGCAGAAACTCCCTGCAAATATAAGACTTAATGAGTAACAAGACTCTTTTATTACTTCCCTTTATGACAAAGTACACACGGGCACCATGTGATGATTTTAAGTTCCTGATAATCAGCTCCACTACCTCCCAAAAATTATTCCTCCTCGTCCAAATTCAAGAAATATCTTAAGATACCTAATTTATCTACAATACTTACAGTTCTGTAGCAAGTCCTGTATACTCTCCAAGGTAGTAGAAGCCTTCATTTCCAGACAGTGTGCAAAACTGCTTAAAGCTTTGCTACGAACTGCAGGCGCTTTGTCCGAACACCGGCCAAATACCATGACCTGTACTAAAAACTTATGCTTTAGAAACCTCTGATGGTCCAGGGACAAGGAGCTATCCGAGGTCCTCTCCGGCACATCCAACAAAGCCAAAGCCACATCAAGGGCAAACACTCTGTAGGAAGTCTGTTCAGAAGCAAGAATACATGAGATGCTCTGTTAAGTGACACGAAGTGCCTACTCAGTTTGCTTGCCTTCAACTTTAGACAATAACAACAATGCTGTTCAATATTGATACTGAACTCTTCATCTCCAAAATACTGCTGGATTTGAATTCTGGAACATTAAGGAGATGTACTTACTTTGGCGTTGTGTGAGTATTTATAAAGCCAAGCAATGAAGTCAGCAAACTCTATACAAGGGAGTTTATTCAGCAAATTCACCAAGGCCTGCGCAGCATATGTGCGATACTCAGCCTTATCTGGGACCTGAAAAACAAGTGCAGGCAACCTTGCAAGTTATAATATTCCAGTCCTCTAAGAGAGAAAAAGGCATTTGAGGGCTCGAGATAAATATTATTTTTATTTAATGAGGCTACATGGTAGTATTCGCCAAGCCCCGGGAGGAGCTTCCTCACCCAGTGAGGCACAGCAAGCTCCCAAGGCAAAGTCAGAGTTCAGATCAAATTCAGAGGCAATGTTGCTACATGGAAGTCTTCATATAGTTAGCTGGGCAAAAAGCTCATGCAATCTTCATTTTCCTCTACTAAAACAGAGTTAATAGCTCAAATTTGGGGAAAGTTCAGAAGTAGACTAAACTTAAAACTTAGCATACCTTGGTACAAATGTGCTGCAGTAATATTCGAAGCACAGGAAAAGCAACTTCTTTCAGCTCTTCTACTACAGAACTGCACAGAAGAATAAGAAARGAACATTTATAAGGTTGGTTTTGTACCAGAGCAGAGCTTGAGCCAAGGACAGCACGTTTAAAGATACACACTGATAGTCACATTGCAGAGTCACCAGTACTAATGCAAGAGGACATGGTCAGAGGACAGATGTACTTTCTACATTAACCTGCCTTTGCAGTGATATATTCCTCTCCACTCACTGCCACTTTTCTATCAAACAACATGTTCTTTCCCCTCTTCCAGGCAGTACTGTTAATTACCTTTACAGAAATGGAAATTAAACCTCCACTGCACAAACAACTTTAAAGTAAGCTCCGGTTACTCTCATCYCTTTATCAACTAACAGGAAGGAGAAGGCACGCCGGCAGGAAGAGCAGACGTACCCAAGAAGGGTAGTGCCAGAACTCTGTACTTCACCTGATGAATTTTATAGCTTGATTCCTAGCACTCAGCACTGGGGATGTGATTGTAAGGACAGCACGTCTGGAACCTTCACCACTTTCCAACATAAGAATGACATTGAGGATTCGCTGGAAGACACGACGAAGAATCTGGAAGGGAAAAGGATCTTCAGGTTTAGTTTCATTAGCAATTGCAACAGAGGAATAAACATTCTGACCTCGTTTATGAGATAATACTGATCCAGAGAAGAAAAAATTGTAGATACAAATAATCTCACCTGGCAAAACAGGACTCCTAATAGGACAATCCTAAAGGGAACTCTTTACACACCTTTCCTAGAGGCGATGCTCTCCTACAAACCCTCACTCTTAAGTGAGGCTTAAGAGTGGCTTTCTGAGAACAACAGATCACCTCCAAGGCATCAGACTGCTCYCCTTAACGTGCTTGTGGACCCACAGAATGGCTCATTACGCTGATATTCTCCAAGCAGTCAAACAGGAGAGACGGGAAAGATTATGTAGGTCTGAAAAGGGGAGTCACTAGAGCTTCTAGGTACTACAAGTGTTAACACTTCTGAAAACGCAAAGTAGTTTGAAACATGGAGGTCTAAGGCTGCAATGCTTCCTGGAAAGCAGGACAAATTCTCAGGCATTTATCAGGTTAGTGAGTACTGAGCTCCAGCCTTCCCTGGCTAGACAGCTGCCAATACCCTGGCTTGCTAGCTCAAAATCAGTTAATATATGTTTATAACATATACTATACAGGCTGGCAATCACAGCAGCACAGTCACACCCTACAGTACAAAGCCTCCCATAGGAGCAGCACACAGATAGGCAGGAGACGATTTGACAAATAAAAACGTGGAGCTGCAGAGAGATTCCTGGTAGAAGCGGCTGTGCCATCGCGGCAGAGCATTCCGTGAAGGAGCACCAGCCTTGCTTCCCGGCAGCCGCAGCCCTTCCTGGCTCCCACACGCATCCCTGCGGCGCCATGCAGCATCACAGCGACCCGCCGAGCAGTGCTGCAGCTCCACCTAGCCACGAGCAAGAGCAGGCCAGGCCACGGCCTGCAATTCTCCCTGCTGAGCTGTGGGATCTAAGGTCACTGCAGCCATCCTCTGGTTTGAATTCGCTTGGCTGGAGGGTCATTAAAGCAGAAGCATGTGTGGAAAGCACCATCACACGAGCTAAAACCAGTAAGTATCAGGTAAAGAAATGCATATTGACTCTCAAGTGGCAAACACAAAAAAAAACGTTAGGAGGCAATGTAGAAAGTACGAAACGTGTGAGTAAAAACATGCAAAGGAAGAAATAAAAGACTATTCCAATAGAGCAGTGAGGATTTTAAAGACTTTGGCCGACTTTTACCTTATCTTCTGTACCATCTTCTGTACCGTGCAGAGGGGAACACAGTAATCGCAGTCCATAATAGGCCAGCTCAGGGATGTACTTTGCTTGATTAACAGTCCTAAACAAAAGGAGGCAAACAGATGTCTTCATCTCTCATCAGAGAAACATTTACTGCATCTCTTACAGTCAAATATGTTCATTAACTGGAAAACATTGTTCAATAACTGCTAGAAGGTGTTTTCTGTCAGTTAGCTAGAAAATTTTCTAATTATCTTTGGTAAAAGAAGTSACTGCTCTTGTTTTGATATAAACAGCCTAACTGCAATACAAGCAATGAGTGCTTTACCTCTTCAAAGCAAAAAGCATAGACATAAAGAATTAATAGCTCACCTATCTGCTGAAAACTCGAGCTCGTGTACCACTGGCTCAAAGCTTGTCATTTCCACAAAGATCTGCAAGGAAAGAGAGCCAAGTTTAGCTAACTCACACAAGAGGAAGACTTGCCTCCCTCTGGAGCTCAGCACTTTGAGCCATAACTGGTCACTGAGGCACTGCCATCTGCCTCTGATCCCAACCCCTTAGGCTGTTCCTAGGATTAGGTGTTCGCAATCGTTTTSTCCAGGAACTGAACAAGACTCCCTTTTTCTAAAGCAAGCACAGTCCCAGACTCGCTATGAATAAGCTACAGGTTAGCATGCTCGCTCAGGCCACGCGCTAACTCTTCACTATAAAATGCACAGACTGAAAGCAGGCAGGCAACCCAGCACAGTCTAATCAGGGGGCTGCTTTACACAAGGCAGGAAGATTGCAGCCCCTTTTGTGGCCATGGTTGCAGCGTTCTGCATTGACCAAATATTTGTGTTTGGGGACATAGGACTCCTCAAGTCCAGAATAGTGTTACCTGGAGGCAGTTCTGCACACACTGAGGTTTTTCCTTCAGGGAGAACTTTGGGAGAAGTCTTAAAAAGTTTTTCAGAAGAAGGAAGACTGAGTCACGAACTTGAAGACAATCTTGAGTTGAAAAGTAAAGCTCTTCATCTTCCTCCTCCTCYTCTTCCTCCTCTCCAAAGATTCCTTCTATCTACATTGGTATAAACCAAACAGAATCACCCTGACCCACTGCAGTGACTGATGCGTTTTGCACATCTCTCTCAATGTTTAACAAAGCCATCAGATTCTACAGAATTTCTCATACAAAATTCTAAGTCTTTTTCTTTTACATTAAATCCATTTAGTAGACAGAAAACAGATTTTTAAAAAGGAAGAAAGTTGGGTATAATATAAAGGAACCCCAACACAACTTATTCTTCTTTTGAATGCTTCAAGGGAGAAAATCCATCAGAATTGAAGACGACTATCTGAATTTCCATCTGACACCCACTAATTCCTAATACCTAGTCCCTTTTCCTTGCTTGTCACGACTCTGTGGCACCAGTGCTCTCTTAGGATTTCTGATAGGTAATTCTCAGTTACATAAAGAAAAGCATATAAATGTCAGAGGTGGCAGCTGATGATATCTAACCACATCATCAGCATGCGTGGAAACTGAAGCAACATCTGCAAGCCTGTCACTTAGTCACCTGCAGGTCTCTTAGAGAAGCAGAGACAAACTGGCTCCCCTCTCTGCTTGCCAATCCATTGCCTGAGAATAACTGGCTTATTATCAGAGAGTTTTATCTGAAGAAACTACACAAACATCTTACATTGGAGTTCTCCTTCCTGCTTGGTTTTCCTTTCTTTCTGTTTCTTCTCGAATTGCCTTGAGAGCTCTGAGCATCAGCCTTTTTCCTCTTCCTCAGATTTGGTTCTTGAGGCCAGCATTTTACCAGCGTTTGAAGGCATTTATCAAACATCACTTGATGGAACATCTGGTTAGCCACACTGCCTACTCAGAGAACAAAACCTCAGTCACCTCTCAGACAAAATACACAGAGCACAAAGCCACCCGGCCACCTCTTGCATTTGTTTGTTACAGTCAGAGCRATGGCCAGGACAGAGTCCTTTTGCTCACCTGGGATTTCAAGCAGTAAGAAGTACAACCCGGCGGCCTGAAGAGCATGAACGCGCTGCCGTGCACTAGCTCTTCTATGCTGGCCTGTGTGGACGAAGTGGTGCAACACAGCCACGAGGGTGTTCGGGGAAAGGTTGTTCTCAGCAAACACCGCCCAGACGCTCTGAGGCAAAACACAGCAGAAGCGCTGCCTTAGATACCTTTCCCTTAGTATGAGTAATTTGTTAAAAATTGAAGACAGGATAAACACGGATAACACAAGAGCACTTGAATCTTTGCCAAGCAGAACATATCCCCGTACTCGGCCTTACCTTTCTGTTCTCATGGTCCTCCGCAGCGAAGGGTGACAGAGACTGGTACAGCCACGTGAAAGCATCAGATCCCTCTTCCGTGATCCCCTCTTCAATCCCGGACTCCAGAGGCTCAGTCTCTGTGAAATCTTGATCCCAGACTGCGCTCACCCACACTAAGAGGAGAGAATAAAAAAAGGGCAAGTGTCAGAGGCCCAGTCCGTAGGCGCACAGGCAGCTCAATGAGCACGGGCGGTAAGGAGGGCCGAGCTCACCGGCGCTCGCGGCCYGCAGCCTCCAGCCGTTCAGCGCCGCCGCCGCCGCCGCCTCGGCCGCCATGGCGCCGCTTCGAACGGGCCAATCGCGGCGCGCGCCCGCCGCCCTC